GCGGCTACGTGAGAGCGACTACGTGAGAGCCGACTACGTGAGAGCGACTACGTGAGAGCGTTTACGTGAGAGCGTCTGTGTGCGCAGTTGACTTATCTGAGCTATGGGTGGATCTCGAGCTGCTCCAGCGTGGGACGGTCGTCGGGGTCGACTTGAACAAATCCGGATAAAGTCCTTGCAGGCTGGAGAGAGACAGAAAAGAAACGTGAGAAACATCATCAGAATGTGAAACGAAAGTAGCAGATTTGTGACTTGTGTTTGCGTATGTTTCTAATATTAATCTTACTTTTGGTGATCAATTTGGGCGTTTTCTGCTGCTCCTTCCTCAGTGTGTGAAGTTCGCTGGCTTGAAATGAACTCACTGAATTTGCCACACAGTGTGTTCTTATACTGTGGGGAATGGAACCTGGAACAAGGAAGCTAGAACACGGAACACGGTGAAACGTTCTATCCTGAGGTCACGTCTCTGAAGTCACAGTGAAGTGTTCTACAATATGCAAATGAGCACTTAGAGTAAATGTGTGTGTGCACCCTGTATTTGTATTCACGGACCTTGTCTATTGAATATATTCAAACAGTGCATAAAATACTATGCTATACTTGTTTTGTTATGAACCGTCCATCCTGATCTTGAAGGGAAACACTTTAAACAATAAATAAGAAATGTCTTTTGTCTTTTGGAAGTCAGATATATCTCAATAACTTTTGAATCGTGATTTTAAAAAATCCCCTGACTTTTCCTCAATTACCACCATAAGGTTTCATTTTGTTTGGTTGAATGTCTCAACTGTTGGATGGATTGCCATTTAATTTGGTGTAGATATCCAAAGTAATATTATCCGTCCAAATCCTAGGCGTCCAGCAGAGTCCATTAAAAAATAAAATGTCCCTCACATAACCCTTGTAACACTACGAGTCTTTGCTTTTACATTTTGTTTTCTACAAAAGATAGACAAAGAGATAAAATGCGTGAATTAGAGAGACATAAAACGCAAATTTGAAAAACAGATCCAGACTTTCAGTTTTACCTTAATTTAAGCTAACCGGTATTTGTGTGTGTATAATATTTGATCAGTATTTTGTATTTAAAATATAGGAAATACTTTTCCATTTACTCACAAATTGGCGCAGCAGTGCATTCAGATTTGGGTTATTTAGTGTACACAAAGCTCTGGTGAACCCCACAAAAAGGAATAACGGTCACAGAATGTTGGTGTCACTAAGTACTTATAATAGTTAGTAGTTAATAGTTACGATATGGTAGTCATATCATATTCTGAATATTGTTTTTATATATAAGATAGAATAGTATTCCTGTTGTTGTAATGTGCTAAGAAATATGCCTTGCCTTGCTGATACGTCAGATGCCTGTTTGCTTAATTTATTCGCGGATCCCTTTTTAAGTTCTAATCATGAAACATCTGATTTCATGTGGGAAATGTTAGCGACCGTTAAGTGACAGAGCGTGAAGAGGAACCATCGTTGCCCTTTTTGTGTTTAAGGGGGAATGAAAACACCGTCGGAGTCAGAGACGTCGCGTACAGGAAGCTTCCTGTTTTGAACGAGTACAACTGGCGTTAATTATCTGAGTGAGTTTATAACAACATGCCTTCTTAAAATAATTTATCTTCAAACTGTTAACGTTAATCCATAATTTAGGAATCAAGTGAGTGATGCATTTAAGACACTGCCGTCGAATGGAACGTTTTACACTTAACCGCTGAATTAACGTTATGTCGCTAGCGGTAAAATATGACGAATACCTTTTTTCTTATAACATTAAGTTGCCTTGCCAAATATTCATTTACGTTAAATAACGTCAAGTGCAACGTCGCTTGAGCAAATATAAATTCCTTAAAATAATAATATAAAATTATTTGCAGAGTTGCAAAGCGCAGGTTGGCGTGAAGTGTCTTGTAAATTACAGCTTTACTTATTAAGATTATACGAAATAAATTACTAGTTACATTTTTGTCATGGTTCCTTTAAAGTAAACCTCATTCCGAGGTGCGTAGGATCACTTTGTAAGTCATTTAGAAGGAGACGCACCCAGGTTATATCGTGCTGTTTTCATTTCCCCCCAAATGACCTGCCATTTGACACCAGTAATAATCAGTTTATTCCTTCATATTACATAAATAATGTTCTAAAAAAAAGCATTGGCCATGATCGTTTTTGTTGCTGTTGTTCTTGACCTCCCGGACAGGTTCTTTATGTTAATTAGCCTGGCAGGATGAGGTTCAAGTAAGTTGATCTGAAAACAAGTCCTTCATACAAATTGTGTTCTCTCGTTAATTTGTTCTCCAGGTATTGGCTTACAAGAGTTGTTAAGAGTGGAAGAGCCATGCCTTTCCTCCATGGGTTTCGTAGGATCATATACGAGTATCAGCCGCTGGTAGACGCTGTGATGTGTGTTGTTGGACTGGAGGAAGGAGACGACAGTCTCCCCCTCAAGGACCGGTAAAGCAAAGCTACAATGTATTTGAATGTTGTGTACAGACATTTAAATATTTCTATCATTGAGTAATGTAAAAAAAAAAAAACCTTTGTTCATTTTGTGATTGTTTAACTTTGTTTAATTGATTTTCCATTTTTACTGGTATATGTTTTGTTTCAAAAAACAGTTTGAGGCAAACAGAACATCTTTCTCTTCTTGTGTCCAGAGTCCTCAGCCCTGAGGAGGTTTGTGGTTCTCTAGCGGAGCTCCTGGAGCGGGAGTCCCAGTCAGACATGTTTGTGGAAGGCATTAGCTATGCTCTGTTTAAGGTGGCAGAGCGAGGACTGGTAACTGCAGCGGAAATCCTTCTACGCTATGGAGCTGATCTGAATTTTGAGGGTGAGAAATTATTTTTAGGTGCGCTGTAAATACATGACACAAACTTTTAGCAAAAATAATTAACCACCTAAAATGGGAGGAGCCAGCTAGAGAAACCTGTACACTAATATTTGGTATTGTACTCAATCCCACTTGATCTGCAGTGCTTTGCACTCTGCACAAGGAAGCATTTATGTTACAAGGATTTGTTTTCTTCTTTTACCGATCAGACTATTTTAAAACTAAGGTATCTTCTATACCGCTTATCCTTAAGAATGTCGCGGGGAGGCTGGTCCAAGTCAATCCCAGTTAACATGGGGAGATTAACGGGGTCCACCAATTGAATGAGAAAGTGTGTCCACACCTTTTGACTAGCACTGTATATCAAGGACTTGTTTCTGTAGCAGCATGTGTATACTTTCTTATTTAACAAGGCCCAAGCACAACATGGAAGAGACATCAAAATGTCTTCAGATACATTGTAAATTGTCTAGTTGTCTTCTATATACACTTGAGAGAACAAGTCTCCCTTATAGCAAATTGCAACTGAAAGTGTTGCAGCGGTGATGAAAACCTGCCAGTGCTCAGCCAGACTTTTTCCATGGTGACCTCTAGTAGGAGTAAAAATGTCTTTCCCCAGGGACATAATTAGGGAAACCTGGCAGAGGCTGCTTTATTCATCTTTTGCAATTCTCGTATACCTATTTCCAGAAAGTTAACACTGACAAATTGTCCCTTGTACTGTGCAAAAATATTCAGGTGTGTCTTCCTTTTTGAAGTATTTGTCATCCTTTTCCTGTATAAGAATAGCTCGTGCCGTTTATCTGACAGAAGCTGAAGTGAGTGGTAACTAGTCACATATTTGACACTCATTATGACCTATACATAGTACAAAGTCCAGATTTGCACAGTTGGCAACAATCAGTCTTCAGAGAAACCTCAGTCCGGTGCGGCTCTGTTGCATGTACAACTGAATTACCTGATTTGTCTGCATTTATGCTCTTCGATAAATAATCATTTTGTTGATGTTAACGCATGTCTACCCTGCAGACCCAGTCTCCTACTACAATCCTCTACATGTGGCAGTTTTGAGGAACAGGCCAAGCATAGTGAGGCTGCTGGTCGAGCACGGAGCAAGTGTGGAAAAGAGAGACCGGGTGAGACATCTGTCAAATTTGGATGCGTGTCTTCTCTTTATTCTTGTGGTCCCTACTCGGTTTTCCTTTGCATTTCATTTAATGAATTATACCTTTGTTTTGGTAGATCCATGAGAGCAGTCCATTGGATCTTGCCAGTGAGGAGTCGGAGAGGCTCACCTGCCTGCTCACCCTGCTGGACTTGGGCGCTGATGTGAATGCGATGGATAAACATGGTAAATATACATTGGCCGGGCTGATTGGTGTTTCTGCTACTGATTTCTTTATTCTGAGAATTGATTGGTTTGCTCTTTGTTTCAACAGGAAAAACTCCTTTGCTCCATGCGTTCGCGAGCAGCGACGGACTCACTGTGCATAACACAGAGAACATCCGGCTTCTACTTCAGCGAGGTACTGGCTGTAAAACCCTTGATCATCACTTTGTCTTCTTGTCCACTGTCAAATACGCTCTCCACCAGGATCAGTGTGAAGCCACTTCATTCTGAAACTTATGTTATCATGCCTGCCAGTATGTATATTGAAAAATATATATTTGGACATGGAGTTTTAAACCCAAGTGAAGAAAAAACATGCAGAATCAAATGTTTTTGATTGTTGAGGCATTTCCAGTTCTCAAGATAAGTCTCCTAAATGCGAACATTAGACTTCATCATACAAAGTCTCTGGCAGTGATCTTGTTTAAATATCAGAATAAACTTCAGAGCATCAGGAAGTGTATTGTCATCTGTCAAACAGGTACAAATATTTTATGTTTTTTTTTTGTTTTTTTTAGTTAAACAATGATTTTTACTCATGAGCCTAGTATGCCAGTTAAAGAAGGTCAATAGTGAGAATGGAATATTCTGAGAAGAGCGATGCACTGGCTTCCTGATAATATATATATTTACAATCAAAACGTCATTAACATTTATTATTTGTAGACTTGGAACGTAAGGACCTTCGATTTCTTTCCACCAACTTCATGTAAGTTGCTGAAAGTACCCCTAAATGTAAGCAGCAAAGGCTCATTTTCAAGCTCTAAATGGTAATAGTATTTTTTGTCAGTCCCATAAAGGACCTAAACAACTGTCAAGCCAGTTATTGAGAAATAGTCTCTGATTTAAATCCCACTATCCAAGCTACGAGTGCTCTCATGTACATGTAACAGTTGTAAATGGTTTCAGGTCAGATCCAAAATGTGGTTCTGAGTGAATCTTTCTTCACCACAGGTGCCGATGTTAATGCCTCTACTGTGGAAGGGGAAACAGTTGAGTCCGCCTTGGTGTTTCTGATTAAGGAGGCCCTGGAAGCCAACACGGAGGATGCTGCTGAGATCGGTAACTTCTGCTTGAAAACCACCGAGCTGCTGCTGGCTCACGGCGTGGACCCCAGCTGCTGTCTGAATGCGGATGGCGAGCCCTCCCTGACACAGACGAGCCTGGAGCACTTCGACCTGCTCTTCCCTCTGGCCGTGCTGTTGATTCAAAGCGGAGCGTCTTTGGTTTGTTCCCATCACGGCGAGTCCTGTTGGTCCGGTTACAGCCTCCTTTTGCGGCGGCTGCAAACAGCGCTGCGGCACTGCTCTGATGGAAGTCGCAGTTCTGAGCTTCTGGAGCAAGCTGAGGCGCTGCTCGACTTGGCGAGGGTAGACGCCCCCATGCTGCACCTGCCTCTCAGGCTGGAGCTCCCTGTGCCCGGCCGGGACCCTCACCCTCATGCCCAGGCGCTGGCAGACCTGCACGACCGCGTAGTGCAGTATGAAGCCAGCCCTCCGTCCCTGCGATGCCTTTGCAGGTCATTCATACGGAGCCGCCTACAGCCTTGGCCCCTGGTGGACAGATTCAAAGCCTTGCCCTTACCCGACAGACTGAAAGACTTTATTCTTCCTGAACGCACGTATACCCCGAAATCTGGCTGGGACCGCTTCAAGCCCCAACATAGCCAGCGCTGACAATATAAGCTACTGACTACTAAAATCCAAATGTAAAGACAGAACAGGCTTGTAGTCATCTGTGTGCCATAAATGAACCACGACAAACCATCAAGGCTATTGTTTGTTTCTCACTGTTTTCTGTGCCAAAATCACCAGACACATGTGGGAATGTTTACTTGTTTAGTAAACATTTACCTACAGATCGAGGCCACCAGATGGCAGTGTTGCTCTTGCGTCTCAACAGCGCCTCAGATGTCAGGGTCAAAGATTTAGTTATTCACAGCGCAGCCTACTTAAGTGTTTCCGGTGCAGTGGGCTCCATCTATATTTCATCTCCTCGACGTGATGATGGTGGTGTGTTTTGAAATTTGTGTGTTTCCCGTGCCCAATATGAAGGTGGACCAATAAAACGCGCGTCCGTCTCACCGATAATTGTCTAGATGGCCTCATTCTCTCCATGATTTCATGTTGGTCAACATGTTACAGCTCGACACACCGACCAGATAGCGGCAGTGCAGCGCTGAATGTGACTCCGACTCTCTGGCTACTTGTTTATAGGGAAATAATTGTTTCTATATTTACCTCATGTTTGTGTTCATACCAAAGCATCAATTGAGTAAATGCTAACATGAAGAAGCAGGAATGGAGCGCTGCAGCGCGGCAGGAAGCGCGTAGCTGTTTTGACGCGGTTTCACTGTGACATCGGGGAGCTGCAGTGGCTGCTGGTGTGGAAAGTTTTGCCAAGCATTCTTAATGCTTATGTTTAAATTCAAATGAATTTAGGGACCCGGTTCCCTTTTTCCTTCTTTTTTCTTCTTTTCGCAGTTAATGCACAAAACCTATTCTGCACATCTCACATTTACAAAGACTTAAGTGAACATACTAGGAACTCCATAGAGAACATGCGTGTTTGCGTCCGTGTGTGCGAGAGAGACGAGCAAACTAAATAGGACATTGTGTTACACAACTAACCCCTTCCTGACATTGCTGAAGCTGGAGTGGCTCCAAGGCTTGCAAGCGCTCCAGCTCCTCTTGGTTATCTAGGTCACAGCCTCTGAGGAGAAGAGCAGCAGCAGCAGCAGCAGCCCTGCACGACACACGCTTCACTCTCCTGTCCGTCTCAATCTCTTGACAAAACCTCAACGCTGGCCTTGGTCGAGTGAGGGAGAGAGAGCAGGAAGGAGCAGGGGGGGGGGGTTTAGAGGAGGCACAGCAGTGAAGAAGTTAGAGACGTCATGTGTGGAAGTGCTCGTGTAGGACGCGTGGAAATGAAAATGGCAACGTTAGATGAGGTTTATACAATGGACTAGGTGGAGGGACATCATCCACCCAGCCAACAAACACAAGAGTGGGGACCGAACGGCCTCCTCCTGTAGAGTCCAATGTCTGCTCGTATACGGTGATGGAATAGAGATAGTGGGGGAGGGCGAAGGCAGTTCCCTCCATCCTGCATTTATTGGAAAACAGTGCGAGTGAAGCTTGGTACTGAAATTAGTTATTGATCCGTTCTCTCCCTGAAGCCCATGGGTCTTTCCCACCACACCTGCTCATTCTCTCACAGCCTTTTCTTTCACTGCAACCCATTGTGTCTTTCAGCCGACTCCTGGAGCTCCCGCACCTCTTTCTGCTGCTGTTGTAGATCTTTTATTTTCTTACTGTCACCTCGTCACACGAAGAAGGCGTTCCCCCAATATGCTTCCGATAATAGTCGACCTAAAGGTTGATGTTTATAAGGGAAATAATGAAGGAGGGCGGCATGCAGCCTACAAAGTAACGCATTTCAATGCTCTGAAGTCAACAAAGTATACACAATTATTCCAAAAGGTTGAAATGAAAGCCTCATGTAACATGCTCGTGGAGGTCACCTCCCAAAGTCCCACCAATCAATTCTTATCATGACTCAAATAACTAATTATTCCCAGCAGATCTTCAGTTCAGAAGTTCAGTCATGCTTGTTAAAACTAACTTGTTTACACAAATAAAATAAAAAGCATTCTTTTTTTTTGCTTTATGTTTTGTTGTGTTTACACATTATGACTTTTTTTAGAATTTAAATCTGAAAGTTTAGGGCTTGGACTTGAGTGAAAAGACTGAAAACATTGACCTGGTCCCATTTTTGTATGCTGGTGTTTTGCCTTCTGTATTTGAGCTTCTCTTCAAGTTTTCATTTCTTCAGACTGTTTTCTATGTGAGACAACCAAGTAAAGGTTGTTCATTTTCAATCAAAATCCTTGGTCTTAGTCCCTGACAGCATCATCACCTCCAGCTGTACCGACTATGAAAGCTTCACAGACAAATGAACAAAACAACACCACACAAGGACGTTTCATACCACGTCCAGAACTAGTTTTATGCATATATTATCCATCAGACACAAGGCTACTACTGCTAAGCAGCTATGAGCATGAGACCTGCAGAGTAAATCCATTTGTTTTTCTTTATTTCATTCACTTGATTTAAAATTCGCTGGAAATTGTCCCCAAATGATGGCGTCTCTTTTTTCCTTCGTGGTGTTGGCTGGCTTCCTGGTCTGGCCTTAACCTTTTCATTAACTGCTGCGTCTACGGGCTGAATGACATTGTGGTCTGTCCCGGGCCTTTTCTTCTATTGAGCGCAGCCTGCAGAGCATCTCCTTGTCTTCCAGCAGACATTGTCTAGACACGGGATGATTGCAGACATCACTGAACACTCAGCTGCTGCCTGGAACCTCATGGGAGTTGTGGTGGACTTTGGAGGGAAATGGCCAGCGTCAGAAGGAGGGGGGCAGTAGGGGCCCGGGGGAGGGGTGGGAGGGGGAGAAGCAGAAGGGTGGGGGTGGGGGGGGTCTACATACATCTACTTGCCTGCGTGCGTTTTGTTGGTGCGAAAGAGGCAAGCGTGGATGCAGATGTGAGTAGGAGAGGACAAGAAAGAGCGAAAGCAAGCGCAGACATTGAGACACAGTGTTCGTAGCCGCGCATGTGGTGACTTCATCCCCCAAAAATGTACCCCGTCCTACTGCTCAGGCTCGCTCTGCTGGGAGCTCACCAAAATGAATGGCCGTTTTAGGAGAAATAAAAGTAAAATCCTGCTGGATATCATTTGCACACTTTGCACGCGGCATGTTTCATCTTCTGTAGCGTTATAGTTGTTTGTCTCAGGCACTGTTAAATGTGAGGCTTTGGCTGGGTGTTGTCGGGGGGGGGGTTGGTCTATGAGAGATGGGCTCAGGTCGCCGGCTCCACTACGGACTATTCTCAGAGAGTCGGGACTGGATGCAGGATAAGTGAATCCTGCAGGCCACCTTCTCACTCCGTGTTGGTTGCTCCGCCAGCCTTTAAAGTTCTCATTTAAAGCTTGAGGGTTTTCCTTTACATGTTTTTCTATTCGTCCTTAAGGGGAAATTCAATTTAGCTACTTGTTTAGAAATAGTGAGATATTGTCTTTTCCACAATGAATCTACCTTTTCATGTCACACTGATTCATACAACTCCTCTACAATGTGGTTTTGCAGTTCTTTGTTAAACTTCTTTAGAGAACTGCTCCAACAAGGCAAAGCGACCATACTGTGCACTGCTATTAACACAAAGCTGTTCTTGCTCTTTGAAGGGGAACGTGCGGCACACCAAAAAGTTACGGTTCCATACTTTGACTCCTATTTTAGAAGCACACAGATCCACCACCCTCTACATTTCTACAACTGACGCCATTTCACAGAAATTCCAGACAACTGGCGCCTGAGCTCTGCCTCAAGAAGGACATGATGAGTAGGACACACCCTTGGTATGCTAGTGAATGGTAGAATATACGGCGCGCTGCAGCGTTAAGGCCTGGATTCTTTACGGATTCCCGTTCCCCTCTCTTCAGACTCCCTTTCTCTGCTTTTTCTCTCCCTGCGCCTATTTTTAAAAGCTTGGATTTGAGTGAAATGCACTGAGGCACCAGTAAGGCGAGCTACAGCTCTTTCCAGCGCTGGTTCCCGATCCACCTCTTTGTTGTGGTCTATGCATGCCTGCTCTAGTCACATGACTGCGTTTCTATGGCAACTCGGGTTTGAGTAATCATTTGCGTTACGACCTTTATTCCCTTGAGGAAAGGGGAGGGGGAGGTTAGACTGAGCCTGTAGAAAGAGGGAGCAGGAGGAAAGAGAAAAGACGAGCAGAAGGGGAGCGGCGGAGAGGCACAGGGAGAAAGAAAATAGGCAAAAGCAGCCGCTGCGGAGGGAAAATGTTGCTGTTTCTTGCCTTTATATGTCTTGTTTTTTTTAAATCCTTTTTCTCCTTATACAACAAGCAGCTTCTACCTAAATCAGTAGTCGAGAGGGGGGAGAAAATCCGCCAAGAAACACTGGGTTGTGTGATTCAGTTTCACCATAAAATCCTTTGTGTTGTTGTGACTCACTCTGTGACTAGGACGGGCCAGTGAGCTTGGTTGGAGAAGCAGCAGGCATGTATGTTTCATAAGGGCGCGCACACACACACACACACACACGCACACACACACACCTCCCCTTCACTTCTTCTCAGAGGAAAAGCAGTACTGTGCCACATGTGCAAGTCTCAGCAGAAACAGATTCTGTATGTTCCTGTTTCTAGCTCTCCCGGCTGCGTTGTCATGGTTACCGAGCAAGTCCACCAAGGCACACGGCTCCTCTTTCCCTCTCGCTCTCGCTCTCCCTCTGCCACCGTTGGGTGATTTAACCCATCAGTTGGGTTGTATCATCTCAGAGATGGAGTTTCTAGCTCCCACATCTCCTAAAGGGAGTATTTTAGCTTGGACTTGGTGTTCCAATTGGATTGTAGTTTGGGAAAATGGAACAAGCGTGTGTGTGTGTGTGTGTGTGTGTGCGTGCGAGGAAGGGTAAATGGGTGTATTTCACCAGCGGTGAGGGGGCTCACGCATTGACAGCAGATGATAGACACTATGGGGGTTGTGTAGTGGTTGTGAAGGTGGTGCTGGCTGCTTCCAGGTGCCTGCAACTGGGGTTGAATATGAATGAGGGGCCCCGGTTCTCCAGAGATGGCGGTTAGGGAGAGACTGGTGGAGCCTGCCTGGTTGAGAGGCCCCCACAAGCTGCTGACAGGAGCTGCAGCTAGCCATCACCTTAATTAGCGTTTTTTACTCCAGCAGCGGAAAATAGGGGGAGTGGGTTAGAGAGGGATGTGGGGGTGGTATATGACTCATAGACACAGTATGGTTTATTCATGATGGAGGAAGGGGATGTGTGTGTGTGTGTGTGTGTGTTTAAAAGAGAGAGAAAGAGGGAGGGAGAGAGAAAGAGAGAGACTTAGGGAGAGAGAGGAAACAGACTTTTGATTTGCACACAGTTTTCTCTCTCTTTCTGTGTGTGTGTGTGTGTGTGTGTGTGGGTGTGTGTGTGTAGATCATTGATTGGCACCTAGCCAAGATATTATTATGTCTTGAACATGATACCAGCCACTTCATTGTTATTT